AGGAAGTTCTGTCTGAACATGAGGAAGAACTTCTTCCCTCTGAGGGTGACGGAGCCCTGGAACAGGCTGCCCAGGGAGGTTGTGGAGTCTCCTTCTCTGGAGATATTTGACACCTGCCTGGACAAGGTCCCGTGCAGCCTGCTGTAGGTGACCCTGCTTTGGCAGGGGGGCTGGACTGGGTGATCCCCAGAGGTCCCTTCCAACCCCTGCCTTTCTGGGATTCTGGGATTCTAACCTTCAAAAAAATGTTCACGCTTGTCTGTTACTTGACAAGGACAACGCTGGCTTTCCCAGCAGAATCAAACCATACCGTGAGACTCGTTAGCAACAGCAGCTTTCTCTAACCAGCTTCTGAGCGAACGTCTCTGAGGACAGAACAGCACCTCAGAAACAGCTGCTGGCTTTGGCTACTGATCTATCCCTCGCTGCCTACCGCTTGCCCCTCCGAGATAGCAACATGATGTTTCTTTTGGGAAAAAATGGAGACATTCTATTTTCAATACGATGTTAGTCCTGAGGTAATTTAACTGAAGATGGGAGGAGACCAGTGCAGTTGGAGATCCCCATATACATATCAATCATTCCTCACTAGCAGAAAAAGGAAAGGGAAAGGAAAGCCACCTCACAAAACTGTTTTACTAATGGACAAGAGGGAAGACCAGCATCCCTACAGCCCATCACAGCCTATTTTTTAACAGAAAAACGAAAAAAGAACTTGTGAAGCTCTCAATAAATCCTCATAACTGCAAGGAAAGCTGAAAAGGAGAGCGAAGTCAAGCAGGAACCATACATGCTGGCAAGGCGGGCAGAACCACTCTCCGTCAGGGATGATCATCAAAGGCGGGCGAAGGCAGGCTGTGTGGTATCCGCTGTCACACGAGTCACACAACAAAATCTGTGGAAACAAAATGAGTCACAAGTATCTTTTCGCATTCACAACACGTAACAGGCTCCAGAACTATTTCACCAGCCAACACAGAAGCGCTTTATAAATACTCTGGACTATGCCAAACCCCCCAAAATCCTGTATCACTTACCACTAGGTGTTTCAGGGCCAGGGGTGGGTTTTAAGGGGAAGTTTGATGTATCACAGTTTTCTATTTTAACACCAGATTTCCTCTTACTATGTGTTCTCAGGCACTCAGTGCTACTGGACTACGTAGATTGTGCGCCCATGGTGTGGAATCTGGTAATGCTTCCCAGATCCCGGATAAGTGGAAAGTTGCATCTGGACGAGCTGTGGTGTGAATGGTTTTCCCTGGACACTCGTGTCCACGTGAAGGAAACCTCAATCAGGATGATTTCACGTCCCGGATGGTTGAGACAAAGCCTTGTGGGCTCTCGGGGGTACACAGAACTAGGCAACTGTGAGGAGTTCATACTTCGCGGAGCGAAACTTGAGGCATCCCTTTCCCTTCCAGCTGAGGAACAAAGCTGACATAAGCCATACGACTATCCATGCTTCTCTCTAACATTCTAAAGTTTGAAATTTGTTTCCATGCTAGGGTATCTGTCGCACACCTGAGATACGTTGTTTTGTGGATTCGTATCAGGGCTGCACGTTATGACTTCCCAGATAAACAGAGGAATTCACGACGATACCTACTGCCACTGAACCAGGACCATAAGCATTAGACACAGCGAAAGCTCGTTGTGCTCTTTCTGCGTGGGACTTTGCTGTACACAGTTCTCAGGGTGATGTGCAGCCATGTCCAACGAGGATGACCAGTAGCTGTGACCACGTCGCAAGACACTGGAGTGCACACACTGCACTCCTGGGTTTTTCTTTTAACGTTGTCTCCTCTGCATTCACTGAGATAGCAGGCGCAGCCTCAAAACCTCACCCAGATTACCTCTCAATGAGCTAAATTGTGTTATACTGCATAAAAGATGGTATTTTAGAGGTGGTAAACAGAGGAAATCATTTCCTTCCCTCCTGATTAAGGGTAACCTGCTCTACTCATTGGGCCCCTCACTACAAGAAGGACATTGAGGGGCTGGAGCGTGCCCAGAGAAGGGCAACGAGGCTGGTGAGGGGTGATGAGGAGCAACTGAGGGAACTGGAGCTGTTCAGTCTGGAGAAGAGAAGGCTGAGGGGGGACCTTATCGCTCTCTACAGCTCCTTGACAGGAGAGTGTAGTGTGGTGCGTGTTGGTCTCTTCTCCCAGGTAACTAGTGATTGGACAAGAGACAATGGCCTCAAGTTGCACCAGGGGAGGTTTAGATTATATCTTAGGAAAAATTTCTTTAATGAAAGAGTGGTGAGGCATTGGACCAGCCTGCCCAGGGAGGTGGTGGAGTCCCCATCCCTGGAGGTGTTTAAAAAACGTGTAGATGTGGCACTTCGGGATATGGTTTAGTAGGCACAGTGGTGTTGGGTGGACGGTTGGACCCTATGAACTCAGAGGTCTTTTCCAACCTATGATTCTATACTCCTAGACAGACTCAACAGAAAGGCTGATGTTCCTTCAGACACCACCAAAGCGAAACCACCCCACCCAACACCAGCCTTCCCCAGAAGCCTACCAGCTCAGGGTGATTGGGAAGGCCACACTTCTTGCACGGCTCATCGTCATCGGCAGGTGCAGCTTCTTCTTCCTCCTCTTCTTCCTCTTCCTCCTCATCATCGGAGTTTTTTTCACTCTCCGAGTCCTCGCTTTCTTCATTACTTGAGTATTTCCACCTGCCACGTGTTCGCGTACCTGTCCACCGGACTTTGCTTCTCTACGAGACACACCAGGTCAGAGAGAAAACACAAAGGACGCTTACAGAGTTTCTTCCCAGATTTGTTTCTACAGCAAAGTGATTAATTTCGATCAGAACAGCTGCAGTAAATTTACAGCAGAACATTTCAAGGAATAGATTGCCTTCAAATGCAACAGGGTAATAAAGGGAGAAAAATTTATATCTACCTGCAGAAAGAAATTTTCAAATAAGATTTAAAAATAGGAAAACAAATTTGTCACTCAGCTCCTTTTTTCTATTTTGCTTGTAAACACAGTAAATTCCACATTTAAACTTTCTGACTTTTGGCTGATAGCTTTCCTCAATCCAAAGAGAATCCTCTCTTTCTCCCCCTCATACAGTTTACGTCTTTTATTTCGCTTTAGGAAACACGTTGGCACTCTTAACGAGGATATTAACGCAAGTCTTTCTGCTGCTTTCCTCGAAGATGGACTTACTTCTCCGAAATAAAATCACCGCACCTGTTAAGCACACAACTTCTATCTAGGTCGTCTTTTGCATTTATACTTTTCCATTATTTTTCTTAAGTGAAAACCGACTCAGTTGATGCTTCTGTTTTGCCAACCAGAGGGGTATCTGCCCCTTTGTATCGTACCTACCTCAGTAAAGCAACCACACGTCTTGCCGTGCATTTACTGGGACTTCCCACCTTTTTATTTCACGCAGCGGCAAATGACATATCTTATTCTCTAGATGTGTGAAGTTTTACCAGTGATTTGTTTAAAATATATTGTGAATGAAAAGCAATTAAGTTTTTTGATTTTCATTAAATCGAAATAAAATTTAGGAACATTATTTTATATTAGTTAAAACTGCTTTCTGCATCTACGATATTTTATATTTAAAGCAACAGAACAAACTTTTCTTCCCATTAACTGACTCGTTTCTTACAGATGTCATTCTCTCAGCTCCTTCTCTCTCCAGATACTGAAAAGGGAAAATAACTTTTCTAGCTTTTTTTAACTTAAAACATTTTTTTCAGTTTTGACTAAACTGCTCATTGACCTGGACAAGCTGAACAAACTAAAATCTGCAAAATATTCTGTTTTTCCTGCTGGACAGACTTGTAGCAAAGCAGCATTTGTCCTACTGGTAAAATTTTGTTACAGGTTCTTAACATTAATTTCCAGCTCTTTACTGGTTTTACTGTTCACCAAACTTCAGTAGCAAATGTACTTTAAATCCACGATAGTATTAGTTTAAGTTTAGGCTTCATCATACGTCATCACCATTTCAAACTTAATTTGTAAAAAAACTTCTTTAAAAGAAAACAAATACAAAAGACCTTATTAAAGATTTGGGTATTTTTCATCTTGGTAAAATGACAAACACTTAATAGTTCCAAACTTCTTCCTCTATCAGATTTATTTCAAAATCTCTCTAGAAAAGTATTTTGAGATCTTTGTACCTTTCAAAACAAAGAGATAAAGTGAAACTCCTCTAGCAACAGTTACTTCAAAATTAAAACTACTTGTAGGACTTACAATCACTAGAATATAAATTTATTTTTTTAATTAAAATTTTAAAATTAATCTTTAAAGGAAATTTTTTTCGTTATGTATATGAAAGACTTCTTCACTCTACACGTTATAGTCAAAATAGCTGTTCATTTTCTGGAGGTTATTCAACACAGCAGCGTGTGACAGCAAACTTGCTAAGTAAGTGAATGTCTTGGTACAACTCCAAAACATCAGTAAGGAAATGCGTAGCAGTGGAAAAATGAAATGGATTTCAAGTTGATATAAAAAGACTACACTTAAAAATACAGATTTTTTTCTGTTGTTCTTTCTCTTTTGCACTCCATATCCAGAAATAAATGGAAGATAAATTAATGAAAGGTGTTTCTAATTACACAGACTCAGAAGCAAGCTATATGTATGTATGCTTAACTTGGTCTATTTACCTGACATACTTTTAAGATCTATGCTGCATAAACAAAAGTTTATCATGAAAAAAGACACCTCCACCCAAAGTAAAATTAATAGCCCATGTACGAGAAAAGCTAAATTGTATCACGAACTCACCGAAACAGTAACTTTAGCTTCACCTAGAAACAGAAGTCATAATATTTTTATTCTTCACCATTTTTTGGTTCCTCTGTGGCTTACGATCATCCTGACCAACCAGACACCACCAAGTATCCACCCAGTAAATCCACAGGAGCTAGAAGTCTCCATTCAGCCACTCCCAGCCAGACTGACTCGGGTCTGATCATCTCATTCCTTAGAAGAATTCCCTCTGGTTGACTTGGTCTACTTAGTTTAGGTTAAATGACAGACTTTATAAACTGGTAAGTCAACACTCTCTTAGGGGCTCTTTTTAGATTTGTCGAGTCCGCTAACTTGGATTGCAAAGCCAGTTCATAGAATCACAGAATTTTGCAAGTTCCTTGCAAAAGCTGACCAAAGGAACAAAATCCTCAATACTCCTACGAAAGCGTACATTCTCCTTATAGATAAGACTGTGGGCATTCTTTATTCTCGGGTAATAAAACTGTTATTACCTTGTTAACCTTAGAATTTGACTCCTTCTCTTGTTTTTTTGCATCTTCTTTTCGTTCCGGTTTTTGTGCTGCTGCGGGTTTCTCCTCTTCCTCTTCAGGTCTTTTTTTGTCAGATTTCTGATCCCGAGTCTCCACAACTTTTGGAGTAGGCTTGGATATTCTTGGAGATCGCCTTAATGTGCGGCCAATGCTGACCTCTTCTGGCGGCGTTTCCGTCTTTCTCTTCCGACTGGAGATCCGGATTGTTAACTTAATTCCTTCTTTTTGTCTTTCAGAAGTTATTTCTTTATTATCTGTTGCACAGCTTTCTTCTTCAGAAACTAGCTTATATTTAAATTTGCTTTTAGGTAGTGGAGATTCCTTTTTACTCTCCGAGGAGTCGTCCAGATTAGAAGCATGGGCATCGTCTAATCTATCTGGCTCCATCTTGGCACCTTCTGGCTCCTCCTCTTGTTTTTCAGGGCTGGATTTTTCTTCTGCTTTGCTCTCATCTGGTAGAGCCATTTTACCGTCAGAGCCCTCCTTTTCCAAAGCATGCTCTTCTAAAGTAACGGGAGAAGTAGACGCAGGGGGCATCTCAGCAGCTTTTGGAGAATCAGATTTCTCCTCAGACTCACCTTTACTCTCCAAAGTCTCTCCATCAGACAGTGCAAGCTTGGGCAGTTCTGCAGGAGCAGAAGGATTTGTGGACTCCTCCAGCTTCTCTAAACATTCTTTGGGTGGTGACAGTCCATCCTTTTTGCTTTTCACGGCTAGTTTCTCCTCAGTTGTTTTGGCACAGTCTTCAGGGTTTGAAGACTCATCCACTACCGTTTCAGTAGTTGTGCTGTCAAGGGACTCACTTTCCACAGGACTAGATTCCTCCTTTAAAGGCACTTTCTGATAAGGAACCTCAGAGACCGCAGCCCCCATTTCCTTCACCACAGTTACGGCGTTTTTCTCAACCTCGCACGCTTTCACAATTTTACTAACAGAATGTAGGGAGTCTGGTACCTTTTCCCCGCTTTTTCCGTTTTTCTCTCTTAACGAGCTGCTGTCTTCCTTGGTGCTAGCAGAGTGTTCTGACTTGTTATTTTGTATGACACTCGGGGTTATTTTTTCACAGCTAACCTCTCCATTTACTAGCACTTTCCCATCAGGACATAAAGCAGTAATTGTAGGGACTCTCTTAAAAGCTTCTTCTTCCGATTTCCCTTCTTCCTTCAAGACATCCTTTGTCGGAGTAACGCATTTACAGAGGGGCCCCTTTATCGGGCTGTCGTAGTCATCTGTCAGCTTGATCTCGCGCTTTTTAAGCGGTATTTTTGCCTGCTGGTCATTTTTCAGTTTCTCACTTTCTTCCACAGATTTCTCTACAATTTCTTGAGGAGTTTTGACATTAACACAGAATTCTAACCTCTCCGGCTCATGAACTGCTATTTTGTCCGTACAACTTTTTACTTCTTTTAAGTCTTTTGGTTCTATTTTGTTTTCCTTCACCTCTACTTTAACAGGCTTGACATTTTCTTTGAAGGAGTCACTTTCTTCTTTGACAGTTTGCCTTTCTTCATTGTATTCAGAAGGTTTCTCTAATTTCACTATTACTGGCAATTTTATAATTTCTTTTTCTTCCACTTTCTCCATTTTCAGCGTATTTTCATCTTCTTTGACCACAGGAAGAGGAAGGCTTTCCAATTCCATTGGCTGTTCCTCCACCTCCTCTTTTTCTTCTTTGATTTTTAATTGATTTTCTGTTGACAGAGAAAAACAACTATGAAACAACCAGGGGACCCACAGGATTACAAACAGCATCCTACCTGAAAAACCCCAAAACCCAAAGTGCCCTGCAAACGAATCTTCTCTCGTGGAATTATTAGGAGCCTGGCTTGTCTAACACTGTCATTAAATGAGCGGGCTGCCAATTATTAGCTACAGAATCACGGTTCAGATTAACTGTATACCAAGCTAAACCTAAATTTCAGAAGCTAGTAGCAGAATTCTAGATTTATCCTTCATTACACAGACAGCTCAGCCCTTCTTCAACAGCACCACAATACTTTCAGAGGACCCCTAAATCCTACTCAGAGCGCGCCCGAAGCATCAACGTAAAGTCTCACTCGAGTTTCTGAATTATTTCACAAACCAGAATACACTGTAAGAGTTCACAGTCTTCAAGTGAAATTCCGCAGAGAAATCAGCGCCCTGTTTGTACTCGTTTTTATTTCAAGAAATACTTAACTATTATCTTTCAACCATTCAGAGAAGAGAGAAGACATTGAACGTTACAGCTGATGGCAAAATTCATGTAGATCCTCTGGGCAACGACTGCACCTCCTATGTACTACCAAAATGCAAACAACAGACAATAGTCTACGTTCACTTCACCTACAGTTTCTAAAATAAGCACAGTGAGTAGCAGGTCAGCCCGGACAAACCTGCAGAGCTTAACGTACAGTTCCAGCAATCAGAAGAAACCACACATCTGCTTTGTTACCATGTACTTCAGCCTCCTATTTATCATTAATTCTACGTTCACTTTACCTACAATTTTTAAAACAAGCACAGTGAGTAGCAGGTCAGCCCCGAAAAACCTGCAGAGCTTAACATACAGTTCCAGCATTCAGAAGAAACCACACATTTGCTTTGTTACCAGTACTTCAGCCTATTATCATTAGCGCAGCCTCTTAACACCTCGGGGTCTTTTTTATTTTACCATACTTTTTGAGTTAGCTAGCAAGAGAATTAATCAGAAAAAAGCAAATATAATAGCACTAGGTATACCATAACAGCATATTCTACCACCTGGAAGATGTTACTGCAAGTGTGCCGTAACTCCAAACAAAAGGATGGTTTCTTTCTTCTACCTCATCCCACTCCCTCCACGCTAGCATAATTCTTTTCCAAGGTGAGAGCTTCCCAAAGTGGTTACAAATATACAGGGGAAAATACGAGACAGCTAACTTGGTTATGTTAAAGAAAATACGCATTTTAGAAACTAAGAGAGCGGTGAGGAAGAATCCACAGATTGCGTAATATTTTCAAATACAAGGCGTGTACCCAAGTAAGTCTCAGCAGTGAGACGCGTCTCTCAGGCACCAGACGCACCAACCTGTGGAAGGCTCAAGGCTGGTTTTTTTCCCCTTCACGGGAGCAGCCCCCACTCCGAGCCCTTGTCAGGTAAAAGCTGCCTCTTGAAAGCCATTCCTCTGTACAGTGCAAATGAGGGTTTTTTCTGTGTCCATTTTCTTCCACTCTCCCTTCACTTTGTTCTGTCTAAACGTTGTCTGACCGGTTCTTCCCGTCACCTACTGCGTTCTCCCAAACTTCCAACGTCGAGGATCACCAGAATCCTCAAAATTCTCTCTACCCGTTGTACAGTTCAACTCCCTAAACTGCTCTTAAAGCATTTCACCTCTACAAAATGACTCAGTCGATGCACAAGCTGCCCTGATACTACTGGAGTCAATCCATCAGGCTAGTAAAAAACACGTAAGCGTTGGTTTGGTTTACCTTCTTTTTGTATGAACTAATTTACAGCTGGTTGGGCTGTGGCCAAAGCAAACAGGACCCAGGTCTTCCGATATGTTTTTACTGCACCTCAGCAGGGCTCTGAGTGCAGTCCATGGACTAACAGGAAGAAACGCTACAGCTTCTCAGCGGAAAGGCTCGAAGCAGTGCTCTGCCAATACACCAACTGCACGTGTCATTAATTTCATTATTCACTACATACATGGAGCGGGTGCCTTGGGGTGACCGTGCATCGATCCACAGCCCAACCCAAGCACCGACCCAGGGGTGCACGCCGTGGGATGTGGGGACTGAGCTACAGCGGGGACGTTCACTGAAAGGTTTTCAAGCGGCTCCTCCCGAATTCAATGTGAAGTAAAATCCTGTCTGAAGCAGAGGTCTCGATTAGATGATTTCAGCTGGCTTGACCATTTTTTACTGAACAGGCAAGATCAGTACTCGGAATCCATTCTGCAGGTTATGTTCTCACTTACAGGCACAGCTGGATACTGGAAATGCCTTCGACTGAATTCTGCTGGTGGTCATCACAAATTACTGCAATTTCTACAGCAGTCTTTTAATGCTTCCACGACAACTCAAATTGTATCTAAAAGTTTTATTTATTTCTTCTGTTCTACACTGCTTGTTGTAAAGAATAAAATAGCAAGTTTTTCTCTTTGATACTCGGAACCAGGACAGGCCTTGGTCAATTCCATACATCAAATGAACGGAAACAGACTTGAAGAAACACATACTAACACAGTGGAACCCTTCGGTCTTGCTTCTGATATTGAAAATCTTTTCCTGTATCTTAACAAAATGATAATACCAGGTAGTAACTGGGGTAAAATTACTTGGGAGAACAAGCTTTTAGCTTTTCTTAACCTTTTAAAAAAGATCAGATTCTTCTAACGCGCAATCCTTCAGGCTACCTGATACTGACACTTAGTAAAACCAATGCACAAGCCAACAAGTCAGGTAAGCTGTTAAAGGCGTGCAATGACATGATAACAAGGAAGGAAAAAAGGTTCTTTGCTAATAAACACAGTGGAAGCAGCTATGGACCACTTCACTTCTGAAATATTTCAGTATTTTAAATTGTTTTAACTTCAGCTCACGTCTTCTTGAAAAATCACACAGATTTATGACACATTTCAGGAAGCAACCTACGTTTTTTGACTCAAACTCAAAAGCAAAAATAAGCACACACCCAATGCTGGATCAATTTCAATCATGGCATTGCACAAACAGATTTTTTTTCTTTTTAAAATTTTAATGTTGCTAGAACAGGAAAAGTTTGGCAACAGTTCAATGCTCCACAAAAACATACAATGACGAGTATTTACAACATTATACAAAATGTACAGCAAAAATAAAATTACTTAGAAAACAATTTATACACAGCTCTTCTTAGAAATAAACTCTTGAGCCTAAATATGCACTAAAAAACCTCCAGTAATACCTATAATTTCAAAGTATTCAATATTTACTTGATTTACTTTGAACAAAAACATTTTCTTTGAAAAAAAACCGAAAACACAAAAAAAGTCCTAATCTAACACAGTAACCTTTCAGGAAGTCGAAAATCCTAACATTGCCACAGCACAACATTTAAAATTTGAGAAAAGAAGGCAGAAAACCTTGTGCAGACGCATCTTCACCCTTTTTGGTGTCTTCATCTTCTATGCTTGGGCTTTCACGCGATGAGTTCTCCTGCTGAGAATTGCTGGGTTTCAGCAGGGCGGGATCAATTTGCGCTTTCAAGAGCTCAAGGGTCTCGGCAAGCTCATTGCGGTTCCTAGAAGATGGAAGAAAAAACATGTTGTTTGACAAGCCACTCACCCCAAAGGGATTCATAAAAAATAACCAACCACCATCTGCTTAAATGAACGCTGCCCCGAAAACCTTGTACACGAGCAGAGTGCAACGCCTGTCCCGCCAGAGCGGCTGCAACCTCGCGGTCAGAAACCCTCCGGTTTATCCACACCGAAATAAAATCACTTTTTTGGCAGGACCTTACCCATCTCAACTCAAGTCCTGTTGGGTCTGGATCCAAGCTGCTACTATTGTTCTTGTATTTATTGCCCTCTTACCAATCCTCATCGGTTTTTCTTTGCAATTTCTTTGTTTCTCTCAGCAGAGAGGAAGTTGTCGTTTTGTGCTCGTGCACCAAAGGAGCAACCACATCATTCAAGCGAAATTTTCCAAAAGCAATTATGTAATTGAGATACTCTTTGCAAGCACCTCAGCGCATGCAGCAAAGAACACAAAGCTGTCTAGAAAACTCTGGCTACTCGAGTTTCGATAATGAGAAAATGTTCGCGCACCGCTATGCGTGCGAATCGCAGCGCACTGTAACTCCTGATCTCAGCTGGACATCCAACTGTACAAAACAACACTTTAACGTATACTGAATTTGAAAACAGAGTCATTGTTTTTGTAATGGACTGGAAAAACAAGGCTCTCGCACTTCTTTTTCCAAAGTCAACGTTCAGCAATTTGTTTGGCCCAGGTTTACAGGAAGAAAGGAAGCCTGGAAGCGCAGCAGCCCCGAGATGTGGAATCTCACAGGTCTAAAACCATTTCAGATTTTACAAGGCATCACTGTGGGTTTTTCTGTTGTGAGTGCAGAGTGTCAGAACCTTCCCAGCAGAACCCCGATTTCTTCCGCTCTCGGCACTGATCTCGGCACTGATCTCTGGAGTCTCTAACGCATGGAGAGAGACGAACGCTGCTCAGCTCTCCATTGGCTTGTTTAGATATTTACTTTATTCACCCACAACAGCTGTCTGAATGTCACTGATAGTAATGCTTATCGGTTTATGGCCCGTCGACAGTGGTTCAGTTTTGTATGACTCCCTTGGTGACTAAAGTTATGGGTATGTAAATAAGCTGCAGATAGAAAAATTAAAATTGACAAACAGCAAAAAAAAACATCATTTGACTTTTTTAAGATCTGTTTTTACATCTCCATGTACTTTTTAAGCCACGAGTTGATTCTGCTGAGTTCAGTTAAAAATCCACTTGGAACTAATCAAATTTAAAAACAAACAAAAAAAAGACACTTACATGGAGATAAACAAAAAATGGATAACTGGCAGATACAAAACACATTTCAAACTAATTCTTTTTCCAGTAAGAAAGATCCCATATACTTTCCATACACTAGGAAAGTGAACACAAAATATGTGACAAAGAATCACAAAACCCTATAAATCTGAAGCTAAAACAGCATTAAAATATTACCAGACCCATCTGGAGCAACGGAGACCCCAAGGCACTGAGCCACGCACATACATCAGCCTGCACCAACGTCATGCACCCCACCTTTAGTGAGCCGGATTCTACTGCAGAAGATTTTTTGCACCTACTTGTATTGTCAACAGTTCTGCAGTTCCATGAAGTTAAAATCACAAGGTGATTCCCCCAAGAACAAAATCGTCCATTTGGAACTGTCTTAGAGAACAGAATTTAGAGCAGCCAGAGTCCTCCTCCAGTTCCCAAGGCATTTAGCTGGCCAGTGAGCAACGGGGAGCCATCGTCCGCAAGAGTCTTTTCTTGGTACCCCTTCCATATATCCAATTGTATAATCCATTGATTAAGCAGAAAAAAAATTACACATTGGCTACTAACAACAAATCAGCGAGCTATTCCTGAACATGTTGTTTCACTAAAACATACATGTGAAGGCAGAAAATCTCACTGTTGTGAATCCTACTCTGCGATAAATGGAAGATTCATTGCAATAAATCTCTGAACCCCAGCGACAAATAGCTAAAAACCCTGACAAAATAAGGAAAAAAAAGGAAAAAAAAAAAAAAGAATACCTCACAATGCATTTCCACGTGGAGCCATCCTGGTCATCCTGCTCTTCTATGTACATCCTGACATTATGCTCCTGGTCCAGCTGGTACCAATACATCAGGCCGTCCTTGTCGCGGCCAATGGGCTGAAGACGCATGGCATCGGCGTCCTCCTCGTTAATTATATTCTTAAACTTTAGATTGTCATCAAACTGACATTCGCAGAGATACTGAAAAAGTGAGAAAGCAGAAAGACTGTTCAAACACCAAACCATAAACAGAAGTAAGAAAATCAGCTCATTTCCTTTCAGTGGAATTTTAAACTCCTTTTTAGGCCTCTCTCTGTTGGATCTGTGAGTTAGCCAGAGCTGCCGGGTTTATTGCCAGACCATGTTGTCTTTAAATGAGAGACAATTTTTATTTGAGATTTTTTTTCCCCCCCCTGCCCAGCTTAGAAAGTTTATTCTATTTAATTTTGGTTTTTTTCACACAATACAAATGATCTCATTCTATGATAAAGCACACATGTAACTGGGAACCAACCCAGACAGTTTTCTCAAGACTTGAAAAGACGAAGTTCAGAAGTTCAGAATTCAGATAAGCTCATCTAACTGCAAGCTAATAAACACTTTACAGAACTGTGCTGCACAGGCAAATAGCTCCTGACAGAACAGTGCGTACAAAACAATTTTCATACAAATGTTCGTACAAAGCGTGAAAAATATGCAAAGCGTTAAGACTTGGTTTGGGCCCAGCCCACTGCCACCAGCTCCACGCCTGTTACGATACCAGCTCCACATTGAACACATCTACTTCTGGTTTGGCCAAGCTAAATTTACAAGCTGTTTAAGTGAGGGAGAAAGCAAAATCTCCAAGATATTTAAGCAAATATGGAAAAAGTCATTTAGAAACTCAGCTGATGAACGGGTACCTTCAGAATCCCCAGTTTGCATTCAACGCTCATTTCTAGGTAGCCTTTTTTTTCCATCTCCCAAGCCCAAGTGCTGTTGAATTCTTGGCACATCTGTCACAAACCAAATGAAAAGATTGCCGGGGTTAGCGGATAAAAGCATCTTCCAACTTTTATATGAATAGTACCTTACTGCAGTAACAATCATACACGCTCTCGTCAGGACTGCAAGTCAGAAAGCCTCACACAACAATAAAACACGACACTGGGGTGGGTTGGCCAGCATTGGCAGATCTCCGTGGAAGCGTAGAGCATCGAGGCCCTGACCACCACCAACGTCCCTAAACCTCTTAAATCAGCAGCACAACACTGACCTGGGGAGTTATCCTTGTCTTTCCTGAGCAGAATCTCCCTTTTTTGTATTTCTGACTTGTCTATTTGGAACATAAATTCTGTCAACCAGCCGTGATTTCTGATTCTGTGTCTTTTTTACAGCACTTAGCACATAAGCTGCCAAGCTCTTGTGGGGCCCCGAAGTCCTACAACTGTACTGCAGATAACAAACACAACTGATATTCACTCCACGCTGGGGAATTATTCTTCTTTAGAAAATGCTAAATATCTCAGGCCTCAAGCCATTTGCTAAATATTTTTAAATATTGTCAGTATAGCCAATTTCAATTTACTTAAAGCAAATAAATTCAATGACACCAATATGGGGAAAACAGAATCAAAAAAAAACAAGGAAAAAAAAGTGGCAGTAGAGGATAAATAGACTGACTCAGCAGGAGCTCCAGTAGTAACAGCGGAGAAGGAATTCCCTCCCCTCCTACACCACCCAGCTGCTCATCAACTGAGGCCACACGGTGGGATCTCCGATCGGTGAGGCTGTGCTAGCGGAAATACCCGTTAGGAGGAGGAGGCGAAAGCTAACCACAGCTCCCTCTCCAGTCGAGCTGATGATGGGGGCCTACAAAAAGGATGGAGAGGGGCTTTTCACAAGGGTGTGTAGTGATAGGACAAGGGGGAACAGCTCTAAACTAAAAGAGGGCAGATTTACATTAGATATGAGGAAGAAATTCTTCACCATGAGGGTGGTGAGGCCCTGGCCCAGGTTGCCCAGAGAAGGTGTGGCTGCCCCCTGCCTGGCAGGGTTCAAGGCCAGGTTGGATGGAGCTCTGAGCAACCTGGTTTGGTGGAAGGTGTCCCTGCTCATGGCAGGGGGGTTGGAACCAGATGATCTTTAAGGTCCCTTCCAACCCAACCCACTCCATTATTCTATGATTCTGAAGTGCCCCTGCTGAATCACCATCCAAGTTAGCACACCAGCCAACTGCTGCCCTTCCATCTGCAAGGACGCAACCAAAGCAGAGTAGTCTCCCCATCACCAAATTATTATTAAACGCAAGACACAGTCACTAAGCTACTTACAAACTTGTAAATCACACCTGAACGCAGCTTTCTCTGCAAACAGCAGCAAAAATAACCCTAAATTTCACCCACCAGAAGCACAGATCAGCTGATTCATGTGGCTACAACTAAGTACGGTGCCACTACCCCATCTCTGTCCCCACAGCCGTGCTACCTGCCCTCTGCTACCCCTAGTACTGACATCAGTTCTCGAGTGACCTAAGGGTAAGCCTGCAATTAGGCTGGCTCAGCCACACCATAAATCCTGCTCCGACGGCTCAGCCACACCATAAATCCTGCTCCGACTTTACACCTCGACCTCCAGAGCGTGGCGCAGAGAGCGCTCTCTGGTCACCACGAGTGCTGCTGGAGAGCAGTTTTTCCTGCTCCGAGGTTAAGGAACATTATGCGGAAACTTCTCTGACGCAAGGCTAAAGCTCACAGCGAGAGACCATCGTGCTCGCTCGCGAAACGATGTTACTCTGCTTTCTCTCTCATTTTCAACCGTGTAACGTGAAGAACGCTGGGAAACTGCACACCAAAACCCTTGCTAAGGGGATGTGCCAGTCGCTGTTCGTTACTTACTCATCAAGTATGAGAGCAACGAGAAGCTTCCCGTGCTGCGAAGTGTGTGATTATCAAAGCAAAAGCTCAGAGACATCAGAGCTGATGAAGCATCCATTCAAACTGAAATGACTCCCTTTCGACAATTAAAAACCAGACGATTGCGCTTTCTGCTGACAACTCCTGTCACAACCCTGAACTCCAGCTCTCATCGATTCCGGCTCCGCTGAGATGTTAACCTCTGCCTTCACAGAGGGGATGTTTCACACCGAACAAAAACCTGCTGCTTCTGCACGCTCACGAGCGGTCAGCACATTCCCACCCTGCCGAAGAGACGCTGAGACATCTCTCTCGCAGATTTCCAAAGCAGCTGCCATCGCATCCAACACTTCCTATTACCACGCTCCACACGTTCACTTTAAACAAGGAAAACAGGAAGGTGAAAGACAGAGCAGAGGAGCCTGCTTGGGTGAGACTACCGACACCTGAATTCTAATAATGGGGGCAGAACAGACAGTGTGCTCAGAGCGTGCAGATTTTGGGGCTGAAGGTTCCAGACAGACCAGTCCAGAGAAATCTTACCTGGATAAAAACGCAAAATACGTTTGACAATAGTCAGGGAAAGCATTTTGCCAGGAGACAGCGCAGTCTGAATTAACTCAACTACGAGTTTCTCAAAAAACAGCTAAGCCAGACAGCTCCTCTTAGTCGTTAAAAGGTTTAGGACAAGCCATTTCTTCCCCTCGGTCACACATGACCACCTACATTCCTTGTACAGAGGAGAAAAGTCAAGATTCCTGGAGCAAGTCAACATTCCCGGAGCCCTACAGCAATCTCCTTCCAAAAAAAGACTAGAGTGTACGCTGGTGAGCCAGCCTGGGTGGTTCACCATCAGCAGAGGGAAAGAACTCACAACCGCCACGTTCCCTTCCTATCCCAGAACATATTCGTCTGCCAAAATACCAGCCACAGCTTAGAGACAATTTTTTATGATGCTCTTTATAAGGATGGCAGTCAAATAAAGCAGAACTGATGAACAGTTGATATATAAACAAAACATATCAACAACATACACATGCATACATGTTAAGAGCATATAAGTTGGAATGTCCTCCACTTAAAGCTTCCTCCTAAATAAGAAAATGGTCACATCTAGAATGTACCAACCCCCATTTTATCAAAGCCAGGAATAGTTTCTAACAAAGGAAAACCAGCTCAATATTGTCTCTCAGAGCACATCAATAATCTGTCGAACGATACATCTAGGAAGAACGCTCTCAATGGTTCCCCACCTTTTCAGTTTTTCCTGGCTTTTGTGGCATTTCCCAATACTCTTTGTTGTTTTTCTAAATTAACTATACCCCTTTGAAAAGGGGACAATATTAGCATACCTCTCTAATTAGTTAAATTCAAATTCCTTTGTTCTTCAGGGTTCCTTTGAACCTCTTGGCTAGAATAAGCTTCAAGCTAGCTCTGGAGTTTGTTAAATGAAGTAGAATTTATTACCGCGTACTGGGTCTGAACAGGACTGTGTGGGAGGGTTTCCTCACCGCTTTCCCGCCCTTTCAGTGCCTGCTGAAGGAAGATATTCCAATCTATTCCCTCACAAATTTGTTTTCTCCCTCTGCTTTCTGCTTACCACGCAAGTGGTGAGTGGCTTCAGTGGGGCACCTGAGTTGGCCAGCCAGAGTTGGGTTTTCTCAGCTGGCTGCAATGGCTTTTCGGCATATTAAGGAATTTAACACAATTCAGTAACCACAGTACTCGGTAATATATGAAGCACATGAAAGCTACCTAAATTATTAGTTATTTTAAAGCATCATCATAAATACTTGACAGTTGGTTGAGAGGTTATTTAACCTCAGGCCCTTCAGCCGGTCTTTTCCTGACACACCCCCAGTCCTAAAAACATCACCGTCTTAAGACTACACAAACTTCAGGCCAAATCCCTGGTCCTGTAAAGTTTACAGATCGCACTTAAGAGGGCAAACTGCCATGGGATTTGCCAAGTGCCGTTCTTGGTATTGTTGCTATTACCATAACGCTGTATTTCTACGTCAGATGCGATCATGGCTGTACAGACAACACCAAGACTACATTTTTGTGGATTTAAAGGCACGCAGAACATACCCAGAGGGGAAATGGTAACCTATTCATTATGAATAGCCGTGTATTTTTATTTTCTGAACTCTTTAAACTGAAAATTATTCGCAGGTAAGGTGCCAACTGTGGCATAGCCACAATTAAAATACCAATATAGAATTATGTCAGACAAAGGGATGCTGTATTTTTACTGATGTATAACCACATTTGCATCTTAGCTGGGCCACTCTGAGCACGCAGACACAAATCACTGCAACACTTTCATTTATTATTAACACACGCTCCAAGAACTCTGTATGGTTACTCCCTGTAGGAATACCAACCAAATCACAATTAAATCATACCCAGACAATTGATACACAAATGAATTGTTGCTGCGTAAATCCCTCTGCTCAATTTCGCCCTTTTGCAGGCTACTCTGTCTCCTCCTTTATTTAGGGTCTTCATGCTCCAGACAGCATTTTACTACTGGGTATGAAGGTGTGCACTCTTTCACATGTAGATGATACTGTCTGCTTTCAGAGATATTTTTACACAAGCCTAGGCAGCCTGAAAGCTAAGCTGGGATCTCGTGGAACTGAAGTCCGGGCACGCACGTGGAGGTTGGCCACAACGCAGCCCCAGGCTCACTGGAATTCATAGCAGGGACTGCTGACACAGCAGCTCATCAGAACCATATTCCAGCACCGCAGAATAATACAACATGCATATTGTACCTTGATCAAATATTTTTCCCATCTGTCTGCCGTGACAGACTTCCCAATCTTTCTCATCAGTTTCAAGTGAAGCTCCACCAATTCTTTTGGAACTGCAGTATAAAAAAAAAAAAGAAGTTATAAAGGCTGGTGCAAATATACTTCAATGCTAAACAGTGATAACACTGAAACACCGTGACACATTAAGAAATTTTAATAAAACACAGTAACTTAAAAGTCTGCTGAAGAGCAGCCCCGCAACCGAGAGGGAAGGTTGATTTAATCACATGGGTCCTTTTGTTCAGATTTACATTTACAATGATCACTGATTGCCCTTCCTGTGCCCTTCCTCGAACTCAAGGAAACAGACCTCCGTGATAAAAACGTAAAGATTTTGGCAGCGTTAAAACAACAACCAGACAGGACCTACGCCGGTGAAACACCTACAACACCCCGACCGCGAGCAGCACACCTGCAGCTGCCTGCCGAAACCCCAAAGCCGTCTTCTGCACCGTACTGGGTGAGCCCAACCAATTTTTGGTTGCTGTGCGGTATGGGAGAAACGTTCCAGCAGCTTTGTCCTCCCAGACGTAGCTTTGCTATATACTTACTCTCTTGTGTACCAGGGGGACAGAGCAGGACTTGAGATCCGGAGGCCAGCACTGCTGCAGAGTACAGCTGCACCGGTGCGATCACAGAATCCAAGTCTTCCAACGAGCTGCACGTCTCCCGTAGCGTGCGCTCCTCAGACACCGCTTCAGCATCTGCTCCGAGCTCACATCTGTGAGTTATGAATCAATCTGGCACCACCAAGTGGCAAGTTTGCAGAACATCCATTTCATAAGCTAGAGAGTAGCGTAACTTTTTAAAAATACGTAACTGATAATTATTAATGCAACTCCACACGCCCAGTGACGTGAGCTTTCTCGTTTGTAATTTGTTGAGGAAAAACTTGGGAGAAGTGAACTTTTCCAGTATTTTTATTCTCTACCCTTCGCAAACAACGTTATTTTCTGAAAGCATTTTCATTACTCTCTGCACACGCGCTTTAAAAGTTTAAAACTCAAGAATGTTTATTAATCATAATTTAATTTTGTTTATTTACTCATAATTTATGATTACGGATTTTCTACTGGTCCAGTAACATTACACGGCACAGGATAAACAGCTGCGACACCAAATGGGTTTGCTCTCAACTGGACATCACTGGGACACTAGCTCTGCATACAACATTTTAGTATCTGTGTGACTCGTTCCAATGTTTAATTTGATTTCACCTAACTGATATTTGCCTTTCCATCAAATGCCTCTGTTTGTAGGTGAACACAGTAGTGGGTAAAACACCAGCTGGATGAAAACACTTGTGTCATTTCAGAGTAAATCAGCACTGCTGGTTTGCAGTCAGAAATTTAACACACAAACTCCTTCAATAAACACCTAAAGTACCAGGCTGGTACCCGGAAAGAGACCTCCTTTCAACGCAGACGATTCATCAGCAGCTCCAAACTAGCCCTGACTTTTTCTCTTTTATTGCATTTATATTCTTTTCGTTACCATTAGGCATTGAAGAAAACTAGCACAGCTCCTCCTTGGTTTCCCCGACAATCGATGCAGTTCACCATTTGAATCTACCACATATTGGAAAAGGAACAAGCTCCAAGGTCGTCACCCTGACAGGTGCCGAGCTCTTGGCCCCAACAAAATTAAGCACAAAGCACTTCACACACATGAGCAGTTCTACCGAAGCCAACTCCGACCATTAAACCTCAGCTTGCGCTTGCGTGACATGGAACTGAGCCAGAGTATTCAAAATCTTGCTGGATCAAAGCTTCTGTTCTGCATCTTTTTTTGTTTGTTTGTTTTTAATCAGATCTCTTTTTTAATGGGTACAGACCGATTGGAATCCTAGCTGAAAGAAGCATGGGTGATTTGTTTCGAATAATCAAATCCCCAGTCACGGGAAAAAATCTTTGCTGGAGTGTTATTCTCAGAAGAAATCGAGAATGTTCAAAATTCAAAAACTAGAAAGTCATTTTGCACACCCCTGGTCAGCACTGACTGTGATCAGTGTTAGGACCTAGAGAAACGTCACTTCTTTTCTGAGATCCCAGCATTTCAGCTCTTGCATTTCAAGGACCTTGATGACATATCGATGTGGTTATTTTCACAAATAAACCTCACAAAACATTTCAAAGTAATTCTCCATTTATTTATTACCTTTTGGAGATGGTTTTCATGTATGGTAACAATATTAACGACCGGATCTCTAGGCTAGCTTTTCGCCAGTTCCCTAGCAAGCACTCCGAGGGCTCGCACACTGTCGTCCTTGTTCTAAGGAACGAGGTGGGAGTTTCGGAGAAGAAAACTGCTGGGCAGAAAATCAGGAGGGTGCGGAGCGCAGCCAGCCCAGTCGGGGTGCCTGGGCTACAGCACGAGCCGGAGCCTCCGGGACTGGGAACCAAACTCTGTACTGAAACCAAAGTAATGGTAAATAATGTACTGATCACACACAGCAGAGTCCACCTGACCTGCCCAGAAATACCAGCTCAGGGAGGGGTGGTAGAAGGGGTAAACAGTGGTAGAAAATCCATTTGTTCCCAGAATGCTTACTTGGCAAGGAGCAGAAGCACACTAGTAAACGAGACCAATGCTTCCGTCGTCTCAGAAACGCACTGAATCTGCGTAACTTTAATTTAAACTTACTTTTGCTCAGAACACAGAATTCTTGACAAGAGGTCGTGGAGGTGGGACATCAGTAAGGATCATTTTTACAACACTCTTCCAATCCTACTTGTAACGTATCAAAGATAATGAACAGGAGATGTTAATTACTTAGGGGTTGTGGTGTTGTTTGCTTTTTTAAAATACCAACAGTAGACTATCATCTCCTCTGTAAAATGTCATCTCCATTCAAGCGGGATCTGCACCACTCATTTCAGGAACTCATATAACCTAATAAGATTTTGCATTTTTTTTAGAATTTCACACAAGGGAAAGAACACCACACAGCATCCTTGCTGCTTAACAGCCATTCTGCCGAGGTTTTGGCCAAAAGAGCGTGACGGAACAGCCACAAAGAAAACCTAAATCTGAATGACATTCTCAAACTTTTACGAAACTTTGATCCCTCTGGGAAGTAATACAGCAGCTCTCTAAGACCTTCACAGAATACATTTCAGTGGTGCAGAAAACGCCAGGACTCTGTGCAGAGGGCTAACCAGAATTGTACAGCACTACCGCAACAGACAAACCGTTTCGAAGAATCACGTATAATTCAACCGTTGTGCCACCTGCTAGATAGTGAAATACAGAGACTTTTCACAGGAAGAAGCCCTGAGTCAGGCAGATTGAGTCACTGTACATACAATTAGAGGGCTTCTGGTGGAGTTTAGCCAATTTGTTAAGCCCTTCACTTGCCTGGAGGGCAGGCTCTTGTCTGGGCCTCGGAGAAGATCCTTTGAAATCTCTCCTATCTACTCCAGCACCTCAGCGAACACCCCACACATCAATCACACATTTCTAATAAATGTGGGAATGACAGAAAGTTGAAACAGAAGAGAAAAAGCATGAACATGTGGAAATCTCATCCTCTGGTTTGAAAAGCTGTAACTTTCGAACAGCTGCACAACCGCAGATTAAAGACCTGGTTGCAGGTACCCATTAACACCTTCCCGTATAACCGTAACCCCGGTTCACCTCTACTTCTTTTCCCTGCCCAAATGTATATGCTCACAGCTGAACACTCACCTAAACAAATCCGAAATAAAAGTGGAAAACAGAAAACGTGGATATGGATGTTTCACCCCAGCTGGCAACTCAGCACGATGCAGCTGCTCGCTCACGCCCCCCAGGCAGCATGGGGGGGAGAATCAGAAGGGGAAAAGTGAGAAAACTCGTGGGTTGAGGCAAAGACATTTTGATAAGTAAAGCAAAAGCCGCACACGCAAGCAAGGCAAAACAAAGAATTTGTTCACCATTTCCCATCGGCAGGCGGGTGCTCAGCCATCACCAGGAAAGCAGGGCTCCATCACACGTAACGGTTACTCAGGAAGACCAACGCTGTCACTCCAAATGTCCCCTCTCTTCCTTCTTCTTCTCCCAGGTTTCTATGCTGGGTGTGACATCATATGGCATGGAATATCCCTTTGGTCAGCTGGGGTCAGCTGTCCCGGCTCTGTCCCCTCCCAACTCCTTGTGCCCCTCCAGCCTCCTCGCTGGTGGGGTGGGGCGAGAGGCAGAAAAGGCCTTGATGCTGTCTGTGTAAGCACCACTCAGCGATAACAAAAACTTCCCTGTGTTATCTACACTGTTTCTAGCACAGATCCAAACCACAGCCCCAAACCAGCTGCTATAAAGAAAACTAACTCTACCCCAGCCAAACTCAGCACAAGGTGACAAAGCCCTGGGTCTGGAGCGAGGACAGGGGGAACTTGTTATTCCACAAATGATGATAAATAAAACCCACAGAATCACGGAATCACAGAATGGTCGGAGTTGGAAGGGACCTCTGTGGGTCATCTAGTCCAACCCCCCTGCCGAAGCAGGGTCACCCAGAGCAGGCTGCACAGGACCGCGTCCAGGCAGGACTTGAATATCTCCAGAGAAGGAGACTCCACCACCTCCCTGGGCAGCCTGTTCCAGGGCTCCGCCACTCTCAGAGGGAAGAAGTTCTTCCTCATGTTCAGCTGGAACTTCCTCTGCTTCAGTTTGCACCCCTTCATATCAGAGCTGATCCGGAGCGCTGGATGCAGAGGGGAAGATCAGAACCCCGAGGTACGCAGAGCCCCTGGCGCTGCTGCGGATTGCAAAGCCTGCAGCTCCTCTCCTCCTGAGGCAGAGGGGAAAAGCGGGAGGAACCTCTGGGCCGTGGGGACCCAGCGGGAAGGGAGCCAGAAGGAACATTCTGGGATCCAAAGGCTGCTGGCAGTCTTCAGGCTTCACAGACACGAACAGGTCTTCCCAGTTACACTAGCAAAACCTTTTTCCATGATAACTTGTTTTGGCAAGTGGAAGAAGAAAAAGGACTCCTAAGATACACCGGGCAAATATTTCCGTTAACAGTTTGCTCTTTTTGATCTTCCTCCCTTGACCAAAACGACCTCCACACA